ATTTGTCCCCAAGTAGGCTCAGGGCAGCCCCTTTGGGGCCATGGCTGGGTGGCTGAAGTTGGGAGGCCAGAAGCTTCCCTGAGTGTGAGGTCTCTTCCTAGCCATCTCTGCCGATCGCCTTGAATATTGTTCCCCTTGGGATGAATTTCCTCATAAAATAAATGTCTTGTCTGAATTAATCTTATTTTTAAAAGAAGAAAGTCATCATATTGTAAAGACAGATCATAAAAAGATGCATCAATCTGTCAGGAACCTGGTTAAGATGAGTATTTGTTTAGCAGACAGTGTGCCCGGAGGCATCCGGACTTCAAGGCTGGGCTGGCGCTGGGCTTAGCCCCTGTGGGCCTGCCTTCCCCTGTATGCCCGTGGCCTCTGCAGCCTTTCTGGACCAGCTTTGGGCCTTGACGGAAATTTTAATACTTGGATCACTCGGGGCCAGCAGCTTTGCACGTCGATATGAGCAGTGTAGCAGCCTCCCATTTTGAAGAGGCCAGGGAGTGAGCCCCGACTTGGAGGACCCGTCCCTTGGCTGATGTCCAAAACACTTTCACTTGAGAACTGAGTCATATTCCGGTCCTAGGTGACATTGCAGACAATCTCTGCATTTTTTTAAATCATGCAAACCAAACCTAAGTACATAGATAAAAAAGTAAACTGTCACACAAGTAATGTGTGACATACACGGTATAAAAATTATACACAGTGAAGCACTGCACAGGTAACACGCAAGTACATGAGACAGGCAGAAGAAAAACATGGAAGTCCTCCTCTCCCGCGCCTCAGTTCACCGCCATGAACCATTCGGTGTGTGTCCTTCTAACCCTCTTGCTCTGCATTTTTATCTGTTTATCCCCACATGGTACACATATGACATTTATCCTCTGTTATAGGAATAGGATCACATCAAACACTTGGTACTTTTTTTTTGCTTTTACATAACAGTCTATTTTGGGTTTTTTTTTTTTTTAAACTATGAAATTAATAAAAACTTAAACTTTACAGAAGGGTAAAAAGTAAAAAAAGCAAAAACCAAAACCCTTTCCTTCCTGTCCTTCCGTTCCCACTCTCCAGAGCAAACAAATAAAGTGAATGTATTTTTGTGTATCCTGTGGACATGAATATGCATATACAAGCATTTAAATGCATTCATATTTAATCTGTTCATTTCACAGATCAGGAAGTGAGAGCTCAGAGAGATCAAGCGATACGCCCACGGTCACACAGCTCACTGGGGCGGGGCAAATCAGAGCTCAGTGCCCTGACTTCCAGGGGGCAACGGCTTTTCCACTGCGCACCTCCAAGGTGTCTGCCCAGAACTAGTCCCGGCTGTGTCTCTAATCCCTCCCTATCTTTGACCTTGTCTGCAAGGCTGCTGACACTTCCCCACATTGCCCACGCCACCCTCCCCTCCCACGCACGCCCCTCAGCGCTCAGTGTATTAATAGACTGCACTTGTGCAGCGCGTCTGGGCGGGCCCTGCCTAATCGCTTGTTTCGCGAATGCCTGCTGCCTCTGTCGGAGCTGTCTTCAGGGCAGAGCCGTGCTATAGAGCCTGGCAGAGTGGTTCATTGGCTTGTATTTGCGCTTTTGTTCCTCAAACTGCAAATGACAGTTAGATGCGGTGGACTCTTTCCAAGGATAATTCCATGCAAGCAACCCCTTGCCCTGGGGGGAACCACATCCCAGGCAAGCCTATTACCCTCCCTCTGTGCCAGATCTCAGAGCCACACGCCTGACCTGGGGGAGCACAGCTTGATGGGGGAGGACACGCACACACACTGATGATCTGTTCTTTATCTGCAGTTAGCCTATGTTCCTTCTCCCTTCTCTTTGTGGCTGTCAGCCTTATCTGTCTTGGGCCCAGATGCGTGATGTGTCTACAGCATCGCCAACATCTGGTGAAAGGAGACAAGTCAGCCAGCCATACGGATGCGTTTGTTTCTTGTTGATGGCAGGATGGCACCAATCTGGACATCTGGGAAGTATCCAATGGACAGAGTGAGCATGCTGGACACTTGCATATTTGATCCTGTCACCTAAGATGATGTGTCCACAGAGGGCAGAGCCTGGACTGATGAACTCTCCCCCAGCCAGGTCTGTTTGACTCAACTTGACCTTGCAGATCGACGTTCTGTTGCAAGGAGAAAAGAGGGAAGCCCAGAGTTGGACACTGGGTACGGAGAGGGAGGGATGTATACGTGGATGTATACGTGTTGGGGCATGAGGGACTGGCAGCTAGAGTAACTCTAATCTTGCAAACGAACTCTCTTGATGGATGTCACAGCTCTGCCAAGGCTGAGCCGGGGCGTGTAGCTTGAGTGGGGAGCGCTGGAGCGGGGTGCGGTCTGCCTAGCCCCTTCCCTCTGATTCATTGCCACTCAGGAGCCCGTCTGGCTTCCCTGCAAAACACACCCTCCTGAGATCCCTGATTCTGCAGCGCCCTCTGGTGGGTAACTGGAATCTGTCTGGAGAGAAAACCTTACGACACAGGCATCTAAGTCAAACGTGGGCGTTAATGTATTTCAGAATCTTAGATTGAAGTTCTTCCCCCTACTCCTACCCACTGCCTAATACAAAATACATAAAATTCGAAACGAACAGCTAGCTGGCTTTTTATGTACACTAGTGGGAGACTGGTGGAAATCTGTTACGAGAGAGCAAAGGACTGAGGACAGGCTGGAGTGTGTTAGGGTGGTGTGGACAGAGACCAGACAAAATGCAACATGGTGACAGGTGCGTGTGTGTGTGTGTGTGTGTGTGTGTGTGTGTATGAAATCCTGTGCTGAACAGACCCTGCCATGTTTCTAAATGACTTTGGTATATCCTCTTTACAGACCCAGCCCTAAGTCAGGACACCCTCGTGAATCTACTTCAGCGCTCTAGGTAGTGACAGGGTTCTGCCCAAGGTTTCCCAGGCCGGACGAAGAGGGATGATCACAAACTCAATGCAAGGACATGGGTTCCAAGACTGTGTGATCTCAGGCTAGTGAAACTCCAGGTCTGAGTTCCCCCAGTGAGCTATGGGCCCACCCCAGGCTTGGGGGGAAATTATACACAGTCCTGCTGGGAGGCCCCCAGCACAAGGTCTCCCAGCCACGCCGACCCCAGCCCAGGAGATGAGGCGACTGTGAGCGAGTCCCCTCCTCCTGCCCACCCCTGCTGAATGCAGCCGCCCCCGCCACTGTAGGGCTGACGACCAGGTCCCACTCCTCTTGGTTATTCTTCCTCCTGCTCCGCCCAGCATCTTAAATGTGACGTCCTCACCCGCTCTTTGTCTCTCCCAGTCTTCAGAGTGTGTTTTACCTGCCCCCCACCCCAGGCCCACCTCCCCCTTTCTACTGCTTCTTTTCCAAGAGAACTTTCCCGCCCCTGCCTTTGTTTCATTGCCTTCCGCGGGCTTCTTCCATCTGCCCCCTTGCTCATCTCCTGTGCGCACCCCTCATCTGCTGCACCCCAGCCCCACCTTAGGGAAGGGACGTCATCACCATGGTTATGACCCAGCTTCCTTACTCCCCCCACCGCACACCCACTCCATGGACTTCCAACCCATGGAGAAGAAAGGCACCAACTGTAATCCCATTGGAAAACGCCTAAATCCCACTCCTGGTTGGCAGCCTGGGGGAAGGGTGTTTTACACCGTCAAGAAGAGAACTTAGCAAGACTGACTGCGAGGTGGGGGGTGCCCAGGAAACGTGGGGTTCCCAGGGGCTCGTGATGTGGGGCAGATGGAAATGCCGGGCTCAGGCCGAGGGGGGAGGCCAGCCCTGCACTCTGCCGGCGCTGCTCCTCCTCGTTGCGTGTTCCGAGAGAGCCTTTGCTGTCTCGGCCTTTCACTCCTGCCCAGACACGGACAGACGCAGGCAGAGGCTGGAGCACAGAGATAGAGGGGACCACGACGCAGGGACACAAAAGCCTGGGACGGCCACCAGCGGCATGGGGTGGGAGATGAACGTCTTGAGCACTCTCCCTGGTGTCTCCTTTCACCCTCGCAACTGTGACCGAGGGCTGGCATCAGCTCATGTCGCAGATGAAGGAACAGACGCGGGGAGGCTGCCAGGGCCACACAGAGGGGGTGTGGCAGAGCTGAGCTGCCGGTCCCAGCCTGCCTGACTCCCAGGCACTCTGCCTTCCCACGAGCCCCAGCGAGAGGCACACACAGAAGCTGTCTCTGTCCTGTTCCCGAGTGGCTCAGTGCAGGGAGAGAAGGGAGCGGCCAACATGTAGAGCCAAGGGGCACGGAGGACATCGTGGGACAAGGGTGAAGACGCAGGGAGGGGATACGCTGTTTATCCCTCCCTATGGGAATGGATCTGGGGCTAATACACATTCCAGATTCCATCCCCAGATCGTCTGGGAGTGGTGACTGTGGAATCTGCATTTACAGAAAGCTCCTCCGACGGGCAAGGTGTGCTGATATCTGTACCTTACCTGGAAATTCATCAGAAAAACAAGATAAATCAATGATGGACAGAGGGAGGGACTGATGGATAAGATGGGATAAAGCAAACAGAGCAACGTGTTGACTGAGGAATCTAGAAGGTGGGTAACACTGTTCACTGTGCAATTTTTGTCGCTTTCTGAATGTTAGAAAAATTTTACAGCATGGTGCTGAGGAAAAAAATCCCAAGTGACTGGGATGATTGAGCAGGTCTGGGACCATGATTGCAGGGGGAGGCTCCCTCCGAAAACTCTTGGCTGCCCTGGGAGGCCCCCTGGCCCCGGTGCTCCCACTCCCACATCCCAGCCTCTGGTCTCTGATCTCCAGCTTCGCAGCAAGCTCAGGTGCCCAGCAGCTGGACCAGGCACTGCCTTTCCCTGCGTGCCGGAGGAAGTTCATCTGCCCTGGGGCCTCCTATTCTCTGTGTTGAGCAGGATTAGGGGCCCCTGGGCTCTGTCCTGCTGGGTGGGGTGTCTGAGGCTGGGTCTCATGGAGGGACTTGCGTGAATGGGATGGAGCAGACCCGCGGCGTGCAGTTGGGGCAGTGCTCAGACACGTGTGGCTAGAAGTTCTCTTGGAAGGATGTGAAGCTGAGCTGCTGGCCATGGCCCGACAGCACCTTGGCCGGAGCTGGGGAGCCGCAGAAGAGCTGCACCTTGCCCTTCTCAATGACCACTTTCTGGAAGCCCTGGAGTCTGCGGGGTTGAGGAAGAACAGAGGGAGTAAAGGCGGGGCTGCTGGCCTGCTAGCGACTTACCCACCTGGGGGCAACAGCATAATGGGTCGGCAGCGACGAGTGTCCCCATTGTACACGAGGAATTTCATGGCACAGCTGCTGGGCTTCAGAACAGAGTCCAGCTCCACCATTCGATTAAATTTGCTCAGTTTGCAACATGACCCGGACCCCCAGGTAGGGGACCAGGACCAGATATAAACAAGACTCGGGCCCTCCACTCACGGGTCGGCCTCTGTGGGAGAGACACACACTAAAAACGACGCCACGTTGGAGTGCGAAGGCGGAGATGTGAGCTAGGCGCTCCGGGAGCCCCGTGGGCCTGTTGAACTTTGTGGTAGTCCTCGGGCTGGCCACACGCTGTGAGTTAAATATCTCTTTCCCAAAGTCAGTCTTTTCCCTCCAGTGAGCACCATATTCCCCCGCAAGTTCTGCTTATAAATTGCCGTTTGCCGAAAGTCCTCTCTGATGCGCAAGCACGGCTGACGCTCCTCCCCAGCTGCCGTGACCTAGGCCTGGGCCATCTGCAGCATTTCTAAAAGTGGCGCCTTCTGGGCCTCGTCCTGAAAACTGTATGCCCGATTGGTGAGTGTGCAGGGAAGAAAAGCAACCATAAACCCATCTGAGAAATAAAATAGAAAGATGGCAAACTATTTTGTGTCTCTGTGCCTCAGACTCGATGTTTCCCCAACCCTGTCTACTTGGGCCTTCTGACGCTTGTTCATAGATAGTGAAGGCTCGAGGGGCCTTTGAGGTCATATAGACTAACTTCCTCTCTGGACAAATGGGCAAACTGAGGCTAATTCTGGAACAAAATGCGCTAGCGATGGCGTCAGAATGCAGGCCCCCTGCCTTCCCGCTCTGAGGTCCCATCTGGACTCTGGACGCTAATCTCATACTTTGCCCCTGTTAGGCCCTGGCCTCCCTGCCACCACCTCCGGCTCTCAGCGTCACCAGTCCCTGTAGGCTGTGGGGCTCCAGCGGCCTTACCCTGCTCCAGTCAGGGTGCCCAGGCTGGGTGCGCGTCTGGAGCCCTGTGATGGAGTCCTTCTCCTTCTTGACCAGGAGATGGAGGACCATCTGCAGGCCAATGGCCTTCATGTCATTCTTGCCCAGTGAAGCTGGCATGTACATGTGCAGCTCCAGGAAGCAGCCTGGGGTGGGAGGAGAGGGTGGCACTGAGGGTAGCTAGTGCCTGTGATGGGGGCAGGACCGGGTGCCAGCTGTTATCTCACCTGGGGGCTTGCAGCGAGACCAAGAAGTCTTGGAACTTGCACTTCGGCCAACTGTGTTTGCCTGGACCTGCTGTGTGGTCAGTGCTGTAGAAAGGAAAGAAGCCTCATCGCTTGAGCTGGGCCTACTATGTGCGTGGCATGCATGAGTTACTGTATATCCACTCTTTAATGTGGGCCTTACAATCACTCCAGGAGTTAGACTTCATATTTATAGAAGGAGAAATGAATCCCAGGGCAGCGAGCAGGGCAGTCCTTGGGCTCCAAAGCTCACGCCCTTCCATGGTGTCTGCCCGCAGGTTGGGTAGGGACAGAAGCCGTGCATGCACGGAAAGGTGACTTAGAGCAAACAGTCAAGGACTGAGTGAATGGGTCAGAGAGCAGCTACTGAGATATAAGGAAGGGCTGGGGACTGGGTTAGGTCTTGGAAGAGGGGCGAGATTCAAAGGGGAGGTAGAGGGAAGCCATCCTAAGAAGCAACAGCATGAGCAAAAGGCGAGAGGCTGGAACAAACGTGGTGTTCGCGAGGCAGGGTGTCACTGCCCGGCTGGAGCAGAGGCTCCTGAGTTGGGAGCAGGAGACCAGGCTGGAAACACGGAGGCCAGGAAGTGAAGGGTCTCGGGTGTCCAGCTAGGACATGGGGGAAGGTGGAAGGGGTCTGAGCAGAGCAGACATGATGGAAACAGCATGTTAGGAAGGGGTGACTGAGGGCTAAAGAGCCAGGGGAAGAGACTGGCACCAGGGAGCCCCATTAAGCTGCGACAGCATTGGTCCACCAGACACTGATCCTTCAGCCCTCAGGGCAGGTGGTGCTCCCAGGTGGGCACCTCTGTGTTCCACCAGGTTCTCTCATATACCCAGTTGTGACGTACAAGTGTCATCATTTTCCATGTGTGGGAGAAAGATCGGCAAGCGCTGCCTTGGACTGTTACACCGATGCAAGCCATGGGTGGCAGGGCCTGATGTGGGATGCGGGCAGGGGCGTTCCCCAGCTGACAGTCTCGTCACCCTCCTCCTCTCCCTGTCTTCCCCAACCAGGCTAAAGGATTTGTGTCAGCCCAACTTGCTATCTATTGCTTCACGTGTCACCGTAAGCTCATTTTTCATTTGGCCTGAGGTCTCAGCCACTGTTAAAATACAAATGGCCCTAACGGAGAGAGCACATTTCATTTCACATATAACTCTCGGTAGCGCTGGGTGGTGTGGGAGGAAGGGGGAAGTGCTACGAGGGACGCCACCTGAGAGGACCCTGCCCCTCCTTACCTGCCCTCGGAGTCACCCTACCCTGGAGAGGGATGAGAGGAGACAGAACGAGACACCATGGTGGGAGGGAGAAGAAAAAGGGCCTGTGGAAGATGCCCCGGTGTGGCTCCCACACGGTTACATTTGAGATAGTCGTCCCATTCCTGGGACACCCTCCTAAGGAAATCATCCAAAGGAAGGACAAAAACTACATGCACAAATATGTTAATTTCAGGGTTTTTGTTGTGATAGTGGAGAATTAGGAATAAACAAAATGTCCAGTAGAAGGAGTTTGGTTAAATAATTTATGCCATAACCACTATGTTATTTATTATATAGCCATTAAATACTACTAGTTTTATTGAGCAGTTATTACTGCTACCACTTCTACTACTACTAAATTTATTGAGCAATTGTTAAGCTCCAGTCACTGTTCTGAGTGCTCTACAGATGACTCATCCTCATGACAGTCCCATGAAATGTGTTCCAGTAGTATCCATAGTTTCCAGGTGATTTTTCAGATAACAGTTTTTGAAGCAAAGCAGTTAAGTTCTATAGCTATTAAGACAGACCGTCCAAGGGCCTATAGCTATTAAGTATAGAATAAGGATTCAAACTCAAACAAAATAATTGAAGTTTAAGCTATAGAAATTAAAAACTATAAACCACCAATTCTTTCATTCAAACCTTGATGTATAATTAAAGTTGAAATCAGAGGCCACAAGTTTCAGCTGCAGTTAATGAGAAAACTTGAAAGTAATTTGATGTAATAAAGTTGTTGACTCAAGTGGCTTTGAGAATGCAAAGCACTGGGCTGGCTGTTACCCTTTGTTTACACGGATTAGGAAGAAGCAAATAGCAAATATTTACGTACCAGTAACTAGAAAATTTAAATTAAATCTAAACTTTTCCTCTAGCTTGTCATCATAAAATTGAGTTTCTAATTAATTAATATACATTAATTAATACAAAAGCATTTAGGAAAAAAGTCAATGCTATTAAATATTTGCTGTAATTGTTATTTACAAGAAAGGGCAGGGAGGTTTACTGTAATGTTCTGAGCTTTAATAGTTATCTTCCAAAGATTGTTGACTTGAACTTAAAGGCTTTGAATGTTTGTTATAGTAAACTGCATCTGTTTGAATAGTTTCTTGTGGAAAACTGTTTGATCACTTGAACTTATAAACTGTGTTTATCATAGGGGGATTTAAATTCACTTATGACAACCTTGTAATAATTAAATAGCCAAATAAGATCTAGTTCCAATGAACTCAACCTGTCTAAGAAAACTATACTAATTCTCTTAAAGTTAGAAACACATCTAAAGATATTTCTCCTTTTGTATAAGTTATTTTATAAGTAAAGCAAAACAAAACAATGACTGTAACACATTAACTTTAAAACACAGTGCAAAACCTCAGTATTCCACAAAGATGCCTCATGAAGACTATGATATGACCAAGAGAAACACTTCATTATACCTAATAATGATGATAGTAAACGCTTAGTAAGAAATGTAGGATCTAAGACTTGGGTGGTGGGGAGGGAGATGTTGCAGGGGCTGGGGAGAGGACATTCAAATGTTCACTTTTGATGAAAGTATGAAAGAAGGGACTAAACAGTGAAAGACTTCATACATGCTGAGGTGTTTAGTCTTTATCTTAGATCACTCCCTAAACTTTTTGGTTGCCCCTCATCAGAAAAAATGTCGAGTATTTATCCCCAATAAAAATATATATGTTTTTCCACATTTGCCTCTACTGACAGATTATGTATATTAAAAATTTGTGTTGCAGGACAAGGAGCCATATTTACCCTTCCATCTTAAACAACCAGAAAAATGGACAAAATACAGGAAGCCGTGGTTTCCAGACATTGGTCAGCAGATCGTGCAGGACTATAATTGCAGAGAAGGGAAACAGATGAAGTGAGCCCTACAGCTGTTCCCCTCATTGCCTGATGCCAGTCTCACTGAAGTAAGGAGACGGAAGCTGGAATTCGGAGAGGGCAAGACAGCTAGAATTTGCTAGGTACAATACTGGAAAAGAAAATTGAAGAGAGAAAGAGAGGGAAGAAAGAAAGGGGAGAGGAAAGGAGGGAGAGGAGGAGAGAGAAAAGGAAGAAGTGAACTCATTAGCTCTGGAAATCAAGATAAAGTTTCCCCTGAGTCTTTGGCTGAATACTAATCTGTATAAGTGTGAAAGAAAATTATCATAAAAACTAGGATGAGCAATACCTGGAGCTCAAACAGCTGGGGATAGTTTGTCTTCCCATGAAGAGTGAAGAAATCTTGCAATTCACAGAGCATTAGGTAGAATCCTCAGAAGTTTATCACCCTAGCGCTGGGGCTAAATTAGCCCCATACTAATGGCTGTTCTAGATTCACCCCAACAACGTTAAAAGTCAGCCTCAAAAGGATCCACAGAGGCCTAAATAACTATATACCAGAACACAATACAGTACTATTTAAAGGAATATCACAAAATCCAGAATACACCGACATAATATTCATAACGTCTGGCATCAAATAAAAAATGACCAGGCATGTAAAGAAGCCAGAGAGTATGAGAAAATTAGTAATTAGAAACAGACCCCGAAATGACAGAGATGATGAACTTAATGGACAAAAATGTGGAAATAATTATTGTAAATGTTATCAAGAACATCAAAGCAAAACAAATATGATGAGAAGAGAAGTGGAAGACATAAAGGAGACCCAAACAGAACTTCCAGAGGAAAAAAAATACAATAGCAGAAATAAAACATATATTGGGTAGAATTAAGAGCTATTCTAAGTCCTTTGGATTTTCATATAAATTTTAGAATTAGCTTGTCAATATCTATTTTTAAAAAACTTACTAAGATTTTGATTAGGGTGGGAATGGTACATAAGGTACTACAGAAGAAAAGATTAGTGAACTTGAAGACACAGCAATAGAAACTACCCATAATGAAGAGGAGATGTGTGTGTATCTATATGTATATATTTTATATGTATGTATGTGTGTGTGTGTGTGTGTGTGTGTGTGTGTATAGACAGAGAGAAAGGGAGGGAGGGAGAGAGGGAGAGAGGGAGAGAACAGCGTCTTCTTGACCTGAGGGATAATATCAATGTAATTGAAGTGACAGGAAGGGGAAAAGAAAACAGAAAAAGACATGTAAAGAAAACATGGCTGAAATTTTTCTAAATTTGGTGAAAAGTATAAACCCATATAGCCAAGAAGTTCAACTAACTGCAAGTTACAAGGAACATAAAGAAAACCACACCAAGGTACATCATAAGAAAATTGCTGAAAACCAGTGACAAAAATATAATCATAAAAGTGGTGGGATAAAAACAGATACACTGTGTGCACAGGAACAAAGATAATGACAATGACCCTCTTGTCAAAAACTATATAAGCCACAGGACAATGGGGAGACATCTTTAAAGTAATGAAAGAAAAAAAAATCAACTGGTGACAATATCTTTCAAAAATCAAGGTGATATAAAGACTTTTGCAAGCAAACAAAAGCTATGAGAATTTACCACCAGTAGACTTGGACTACTAGAAGTGACAAAGGAAGTTCTTCAAGCAGAAGGAAAATTAAACCAGATAGAAATCCGGATCTATGCACAAAAATGGTAAGGAGCCCAGAAATAGTAAATTTGTGTATATATACAAAAGATGTGTTTTTCTCATTTTAAATCTCTTTTAAAAAGATTAAGACAAAAAAAATTGTACTGTGGGGTTTATAACACATGCAGAAGTAAAATGTATGACAACACAGGCACAAAGGACAAGAAAGGGGAATAGAGAAGTACACCATGGTAAGGATCTTGTACAAGAAGTAGCATAGCAGTAGGTGAAGATAAACTATCATAAGCTAAAGATGCGTATTACAAGTGCTAGAGCAACCACTTCAATAATAAAATAAAACAATTAAGTATAGTTAATAATACAATAACAGAGATGACATGTATTATGCAAAACTACATAATTAATCCTAAAGTGGGAAGGAAAAGAGGGAAAGAACAAAGAAGAGGCGGGACAAACAGGAAACAAGATGGCAGATTTGAACCCAATCATATCATTAATTATATTAAATGTAATGGGGCAAAAACTCTAGTTAAAAGGCAAAGATGATCAGATTGGATTTTAAAAAAGAAAGACTCAGCTATAGGTAGTTTATAAGAAACTCACTTTAAAGATAAAAATGCAGATTGGTTAAAAGGATGGAAAAAGAAATACTATGACATAACTAAGTAAATTTTTAAAAGCTCGAGTGGCTCTACTGATATCAGGAAAAAATAGACCTCAGAACTAGAAATATTATCAGGGATAAAGAAGGACATTATAAAATGTCCTAACTATAGCTAACTATAAGGTAATTAGTTCATCAAGAACACATAAATATCCTTAATGTGTATCCAATTTTATTGTACAATGAAGAACTTGACTAGCCTTTGCCTCTGGTTCTTGGGAGGAAGGGAGACTCTAAATCTTTGGAATTTCCGAAGTAATAGGGGTGTCTTTGTTATGCATGAGCCACTTGGATCACCCCTGAGTTTATGCTAAGAAATGAGATGACTTAGGACAGAGGCTGGTCACCAGAAAGACTTACTATGTGAGTAGAGGGTTGGGGCTTTGAGTCAGCCCGACCTCTGGTAGGGGGCCGGAAGATTGAGTTCAGTCATGTGGCCAATGATTCAATCAGCCATGTCTATATAATGAAACTCCATAAAAACTCTGGCTGCCAGAGCTCCGTGGAGCTTCCTGGTTGGTGAAGACATCCGTGTGCTGGAAGGGCAACACACCTTGGTTCCGTGGGGAGAGGGCCTGTCTCCCCAAAGGCAAAGGCTTCATTGCTTCTGGCGGGGGCTGGACTTCTTGGTCATGTCCACGCCCCCGGAGCCTCTTCCCTTTATGTTACAGAATCGGCGGTTCTCGGAGGACATCTCAGACCTGCAGGGGGAAGGGTAGAGAGTCATGGGTCTCTGGGAATGGGCAGTGGCAGGCATTTCTTAGAAGCTCCCTGGCCCTTGCCAGTCTGAGCGACTTTATAAACAGGAAATTGCGTTTTCTGCCCAAACCAGTCAGGGAACATGGAGCCCATGGAGAGAGAACATCAGTGTTGTGCTGGTAAATTGACTCCGTGGGGGAAAAAACACCAGCCTCGATTGTCAGCATCTCTCCATTGCTGTGGAGTGAATACTGCCACCACGGCTCCCACCTGGCACTGTGTTTAATAACCAGCACGCAGGATTCCTGAAAATTCCGCAATGGCTCTGTACTGGACCCCCCAAATGTAGTAGGTTATGATGTTAGATTAGAAATACATTGAGATTTGTGGGTTAACACTTAACTAGACAAGAGAATCGAAGAAATCAAGTGCCGACTTTAAAGTAGATTGTGTCTATTCTCCCTTCAGGACTGTCCTAAGTTAAAATTTAGCACCGTTGCTTCATTTGGGAAGAACGTACTCATGTACTTTGTACTAGTGGCTAAGGATGGAAAACAAAGTGATCAAGCCGAAACCGATTGTTTCTTACAACTGATTGTTTAAACTTTCCAGCTGCCTGGCCTATGGTTGAAGTTTTACTGTGTTTGCTTAACTGGAGAAAGAATGGTCCTTAACCTAACTAATGCTATCTGCTTCTGTAAACCTGCTTGCTTAAAGGTTATAATCAGTCGCTCGTAACCGGAGTAGGTGGTCCGAGGCAGGTCCGGGACCCCACGGTTATGGAATGTATGATGTAATTTGTCCCACTTCCCGTCTTTGTCCCACTTCCCCGTACCTCATGTCACGTAGCCCATCTTAGAATAGTATAAGACCCCCTTGCTTTTTCAGCTACCCACCATTCTCTGTACCTGTACTCTGGCAGGGCAGGGGTGGTCGCTGGCCAGCTGATAAAGACTCATAATTCGACTCAATTCGGTCTTTAAGCAGTCGTTTCTCGCACTCCCTACTATAACAGCTCCATGTCTAGTACAAGTCACTTTCAAAGCGTGACCAGAGAACACTCATCCCCACTCATGGTCAGCTCCAGCCACACCGCCTGGCCTGGAACCTTCTTTTTCCTCAGCCTAGAACACCCTTCTCCTCTTCCCCAGCTGGCAAATTCCTTCGGCGCCCGCTGCCTTGTCCGGTTCATTTGAAGTCGCTACTTCTCTTTGAAGCGCTGCCCAGCTGCTCCAGGCTGAGAGGCCTGCGTGTCCCTTGGCTCCCTCAGGGGCTCTGCCATGGGGTTGCTGCCCGTGTGATCCCCGGGGCAGGCAGCAGGCCTCAGGGCGCGGCACAGTCAGACACACCTGTCCCATCAGTGCCTGAGGGGCCTGTGGCATTTCTTGCGCTGGTGCAGGAGGGGGGACTAGGAGTGGCCTTCACAGCCGTGGGGGCCCCTCCCTCTGCCTGGAGAGAGCAGCAGGGGCTGAAGGCAGGGGAAGGACTGTGTTCCCATGCGGCTTGGGTAGAGCCTGGGTCTCCTGCCACCCGCCTGGTGTCGTCACAGCACGCCGTGTGGCTTCTTTGGCGCTGACTCAGGCTGTTCCCCCAGTGGGGCATGGACTCCTCCTGGCGGTTTGGGAGGTTCCCTGTGACAGAGCTGCTCTCCTTTCAATTGTCCTTAATCCTCTGATGGCAACAGAGGAGGCGGCTTTCATTCTGGCCAATGGACTTTCACACCTCTGTCCCACCTGCCTCCCCCCGCCCCAGCCCTGTTTCCTTTTAACAACGTGGGACAGAGGAAGAGGGAGTGGCGGGGTACAGCCTGGCTCAGAGCCTTCACAGGCAGAACCCTCTAGCAAGAATTTAATATTAACGTGTCTCTCCTTGTTTTTACTTTCAGAACTGTCCTCTGATTATGGCACGGGATGAGGGTTTTCCATCAGAGATAAGAATCTAGACAGTCCCTTTGAAATACAACGAAGTTGAAAGTAATGCTGGGATGTAAGAGAAAGATTAAGCTGAAAATATGACCGGTGGGCAGTGAATATGCAAAAGCAGGGAGGTGGCAGGCAGATGACCAGCTGCGAAACACCCAGGTGATGTGTGGCCCTTAGGGCCTCTCTTCTGGGTTCCGAGGACCCACCGTCCCTGGGAAGGCAAAGCAGCCCACCCTTGGGCCTCCAGCCCCAGCCCCTCAGTCTTACGGGAACATCCCCCCCTTGGAAGAGACTCCCCACTGTGCTCGTGCTCTGACTTCCCGTAGGCCAGGCCCTGTCCCCTGGCCACGCAGCTCCCTGGGGCCTGTAGGACGTCAGCTCCGCAACACGCCCTTGTCAGAGGCCACCACGCCCTGTGCTGCGCGCAGGGATGGACGGGCTGGAACCGCAAACCCTGCTTTGTTTCGAAACAGAAATTGCTCTATTATTTCAATCATAAAATCTATAAATGCTAGTTTTAAAAATCCAAATATTAGGAATGATTAAACAATAAAGTGAAAAAAGTATCAGACCACGTAGCTACCCTAAACCTTTTCTCTCTGCCCTTTCAGACTTTGTTTCTAACACACACACGCACATTCTTTTACATAAATGGAACATACTACTTTGCAACCTGCCTTTTCCACTTACCACATCCTGACTAGCTCTCCACGTTAACGCATTTAAATCCACGTAATCTTTTCTGAGGTGACTTATTATTCTAAGGATGATCAGTAATTTATTTCACTACTTCCCTGCTGGGCATTTTGATTATGTTCATTTTCTCATTATTGTGAGCCACCATCCTATCTATTAATAAAATCACACTTTTCCTTTCATTAGCCCTTGCTCCTGATTTATTTTTCTTCATAGCATTTATTATCACCTGGTGTATTACGCACTATTTTGTTTGTTCATTTTCTGTCTCCCACAGGAAGATGAGCAGTGACTGTGTCTATTTCGCTTGTTGCTCTATCTCCGGCATCTAGAACAAAACCTGGAAAGCACTGGGTGCTGTGCTTAATCACCGTTTCCTAACTGGATGAATGAACAAGAGTCTGATGCCTTGAAGGACTCATACAACCTGTTTATCTACTGGCCTTGGGACCAGATGTGTAGCCAGATGGTGTCTGAGCCAGAGACAGAATGAGAGGGGAAATGGGGTATGAGCTGGCCTCCAGCAGGGAGCAGGGCCCGTCCCACTGGAGGGATTGGTGCTGGGCCTCAGCCACTCGAGTCCTGGTTTGAATGTCCTTCCTCAGGACCAAACTAGCAACCTGGCCACCGGGCTTGGACAGCTGTTCTCTCTGTGATCTTTCTTGATGATCAACCTTAGCTTAATAAGGATTCAGGCTCCTCTACCAAGAAAAGGAACAGAGTGGCCACTATGCAATGGATATTATTTTTTATCCACCTTACGGATAAGAAGCTGAGGCTCAGAGAGGTTAAATAACTTGTCCAGGCCCCCAGGTAGGAAACTGTGGGATACAAATGCAACCGAGGCTATCTGAGGCCAGAGCCTAGACACAAACCAGTGTCATCGCTCAGCTTCCCATATCCTCACACTCACTTTGTCCAGAGCTGAGCAACCCTCCCCTGCCTTCCCTTTCTCCATAGATAGCACCACTCAGACGCCTGGGACACGTCCTGGACTCTGTCCTCCCTCGCACCCCCAAACACAGTCACTTTGAGTCTTTCTGTGAGGTGCACCCGCTCCGTCCCCTGACCACTGCCTCAGGGGCAAGGCCCTCCTGAGCTGTCATCTTCATATTCACAAGAGCCTATCAAAGGGTCCCCTCCCAGCCTTCTTCCATAAAGAAATCCAGCTGGAATAGAAACTGCCCCAGCTTAATACCACATGTCCTCCCACCATGCGCAGGGGCTCCCATGGCCACGGTGCAGTGCTTGCAGCTCAGGAGGCCCTTGGTGACCAGGCCTTGCAACCGCTCCAGCTGTTCCCTGGTAACCCAGGTCTAGCCAAGCCAAATTACCTGTGGTCCTCCAAGCATGGTGTACCCTTTCACAGCGCTGTGCCCCAGCCCTGCTGTTCCTTCTCTCAGCAGTACTCTTTCCCACCCTGTCTATCCAATGAACTCCTATGCATTCCTCAACGTCCTGATATGGCATCTCCCCCCTCATTTTGAAGGCTTTTCTCACCTCCCAAAGACAAAGGATTTAATATCTCCAGACATTCTACTTCTTTTCCCCAACATAGCCATGCACTGTAATGGAAAGGCTGACTCCCCCAGAAAGCAGAACAGTGCCTGAGCCTTCTCTGTGTCCCTGTGACCTAGTGCAGGGCCTGTCACCTTGGAGACACTTAATATATGCTTCCTGAGCTGAGCGAGAATGCTCTACTGAGTCCTGGCCTTTAGTGCTGTCCTGCCTACCCGTCATTCCTCTTCCTAAACATCACCCCTAGAGGGCTGGACTGGTCTTGCGTTTTGCTTGTCTCCTCTGCAGCCCTGGGGCTGCAGCTACACTCTTCCTATTTCCTCAGGGGCTAACAGATATCCAATCACTCCACCCTGTCACCTGCTCCTCAGGGTGAGATGGGAAGGGGCCCCTTGTACCTTGAGGGGAGGAGATTGACTTCCATGATGCACAGGGCTGCCATGTGGGACACTGTCAGCCCGATGGCCTTCTCCGGAAAGAACAAGATGCCAGGGACCAGCAGCCACTTCCAGAAATTGGGCCCATGCAAGATGAGCAGGAGCCACATGGGGAGGTAGGACAGGTGGGTCCAATAGAACACCTGTGGGGAAGGGGGAGGAGTAAACTGCCAGGGCTCATGGGCTGGGGGTGGAACAGAGCCAGGGCTCAGGGCCATCTCCCAAGAGATGCCTTGAGCCTTGATCCTCTCCTGGGGACGGGGTTAAGTAAGAGGTTGGGCTTAGGAAGCTTCATTAATTCTCTGTTCTGGGGGCTTGGCCAAGGCAGGCTATGAGGGGAGATCCCTGATACCAGAGGCAAACGTCTGATCCATCCGCCCAAGGACGTTCTGGGCAGAGTGGAGTGCCCCCAAGGGGTCATGAGCATCAGGGTCCCTATGCCCTGACCCATCCTCAGGAGGAAGAAAGGAAAGACAGCAACAGCTTCCTGGGAGTGGAGAAAAAAGGACAGAAGACATTGGTCAAAGGAATGAGAATGCTGACTCCCACTTGAAAGGCTTGCTGCTGGCCCAGGGTAGCCGTGCTGTGTCTGTCCACTTCCGACGTGGCCGGGCCAGGCCAGAGGACAGTCAGGGTCTCCAAACCCAATCCTGTGACTTCCTGCATCTCGAAGATCGTGAAGATGGAACATTTTCAGGGCACCTATGTGCCGGCTATGTAGGCAGTTGTATCACATGTATTCTGTCACATAATTACTAAAATAATGTTAAAGGTGGAGAACTATACCTCCATTTTACACATGTGCAGATTGAGGCTCAGAAAGGCTGAGTGATGAGGAAGTGTGGGGTGGGGATTTGAAACCGGGTGAGCCTGTGTTCCTTCTCCTCCCACTGCTGTTTTGAGCCCAGCTTAATCGAATTAGGACAAGGGCTAAGCTGGCATAAGGCAGGATCTTCTGTAGTGAAACCTCTTCACTTGGCAGATAAACTACAGCCCCGTGGCAAAACCCAAATCACATGCAAATAATATGCAGGCCAGCCTGGGACCTTCTGGAACACAGGGAACACAGCAAGAAATGAAGGTGGGAGCCTGGCCTGGGGAGAGGCAAAAAGAAAGGCCCAAGTGGCTGCTCGTGCAGACACAGGGGCTGGAGCAGGTGAGCAGAGAGCAACGCCCCTCGGGGACAAGTCGCGCACCCAGCAAATGCCAGGCCTCTTGGTGAGCAGCAGCTCCCAGAACTGGCCCAGGGTTACCTCTGCCTGAGCCTGGAGGCTGGAGACAAGCACGAGACCAGCTCTTCCTACTCCGTCTTCCCCTTGGGAGCCCTGCCCCATTAGATACCGCAGGCAGGGACTTTCGTCCAGAGTGCTGGCTTATCCAGGCACCCCTTCTCCAACACACAGGGGCTGTGCTCCGTGTTCTGGGCTAGGAGCTGCTCAGTACCCCCAACCCTGCCCCAGGCCACTTTCTGAAGTTCACAACATGGGCCACGGTGTGCATGAGGGAGAGCCCAACCACTACACAGCCCATGAGCTGGTGGAACTGGATGTTCTGGCCCAGTGGCAGGACCCGAGCTAGCCATGTGGCCTGCAGTCACGTGAAGCAGCGCCTGAGCATCAGCACCTGGCCGGGCAGAGTGGCAGAGCCCCCAAACTCGCTCTCTCCCTCCACCTTGTCCTTTCCGAACCACTGCGTCTCCCTGCATCCTCCGGAGCTGGCTACGCTTCCTGGACAGGGCCCCATCCCACCCCTAGCCCCCAAGCCTTTGATGTTCCCCTGGGTTCATGGCTGAGGTCTCCAAAGGAGGGGCTCCAGAATAGGGTGGGCAGAGAACGTTACAGAACGTCTGCTTGTATTACTTTTTATCCAAACACGTGAGAAACATAAGCTTTTCCTAATATTTAACATTTGCGTTGACATGGTGCCCTCATTTAGTTCATATGTCAGAGAGGCACAAGCTTTTCCTAGGTTTTCTACTAGGATTTTTTGTTGTTTCAGGTCTTACATTTAAGTCTTTGATTCATCTTGGGTTAATGTTTGTATATGGTGAGAGAGAGGGATTCAATTTCATTCTTCTGCATGTGGCTCTCCAATTTTCCCAGCACCATTTAGTGAATAGTGTGTCCTTTCCCCAGTGTATGTTTTATCTCCTTTGTTGAAGATCAGTTTGTTGTAGGTATATGATTTTATTCCTGGGTTCTCTATTCTGTTCCATTGATCTAAGTGTCTACTTTTATGCCAGTACCATGCTGTTTTGGTTACTATAACTTTGTAGTATAATTTAAAGCCAGGTAACGTGATTCTTCCAATTTTGTTCTTTTTGCTTAGGATTGCTTTGGCTATTCTGGCCCTTTTTCCAGTTACAAATGAATTTATAATTGTTTTTTCTAATTTTGTGAAAAATGAAGTTAGTATTTTGATAGGAATTACATTAAATTTGTAGATTGCTTTGAGCAATAAAAATAAACCTTTTCTTCAGGTGAACACAGTGGGGAAGGGACATAGAAATGTGTTCTAGACACTTTAATGCATCTGCTTCGCAGGCCCCAGCTGCCTACCCTTCACCACTCAGCGCTTGAGTGTGCATATACACACATGCATACACACATACACATTCGTGCACACACACATGCACACCCACACTCAGCCACTCCTCTCTTCTCCTGCACATCCCTGCAGTTCCTTGACCCTTGCTACTCTTCTGTCTCAGACCACAGTTGCTACCAGGCTTCCAGATGCACACAGGAGAGCTGAGATGCTTGATGGAGCGGCTTCAGCCCCAACAGTCTCCCTAACCTCACAGATCTGCTGATGTGGGCCTTTGGTGACTAAAGAATTGCAATGTCTCCCCCTGAGGGGCATGGACTGAGGCAGAGGTATGGGCAGTTGAGTGGAGGCCAGTTCAGACAAAAGTACCAAAGCCACTTTGTTTATTTTTTTTCATGCTACACATGTAACCTCCTACCCTTTTATTTAGCTTTTTTAATTTTTAAAAAATGTTTTATTATAGATTTTTTTTAAATTTCAGTTTATTATGGGGGTGGAAATGTTTAGGCTATGTATATTGCCCTTGCCCCACCCGAGTCAGAGCTTCAAGTGTGTCCATCCCCCAGACGGTGCACACTGCGCCCATTAGGTGTGTATATACCCATCCCCTTCTCCCCCCTCCCGTCTGCCTGACACACAATGAATGTTATTACTATATGTGCACTTAAGTGTTGATCAGTTAAT